CGCCTGTTGTGGAGCGCGGACGAGGCCCAGCTCGAGGAGCTGCAGGCGACCGTTCGGGCCCTCGCTGACCAGGGGGATGCGGGCGCCAAACTTAGGAGAACTAAAGAGTGGAGGTCTTGGTTTTCACCGCCTCAGGATTCTGGAGGAGGAGCCGTGCATCGGTGGACAAAGGGGCCGCAATGATGGGGCCCCGACCCTGAAGGACCTCAGCGTGGGCCCTGTGGACCCACGGACACGGTCGATCAACTGCTTCAGGAATGGAAGGACACCTGGCATTTTGGGAGCCCCAAAGGCTTCAAACATCTGACCTCCGAGTCCCTCTGCCTGAGCCCCCAGCGGCTCTAGCGGCAGACCAGCTCCGCCAAGTCCTTAAGAAGTTCAAGAAACATATTGCAGTAGGAACCGACGGGTGGAACCTGAAGGCGCTGCTGTATCCGAGCGGCAGCGCCTTGGCAGTTTTTGGTCAGTTCCGCTCGACCATAGAAACCCAGCCTCTGACCCCAGAGCAGCGCGACTTGTCGCTGATAAAATTCCTCAAGAAGCCAGATGGCGGGCGCCGCCCGATCGGAGTGCCGGCGAGGTTTTTTCCGTACATTGGGAAGGTTGAGGAGGGGGGGGGGCGTCGCAGTGGGAAAGGGGGCATGCTATGGATTGTACATGAGGGGCGAAAGGGTGGAGATGCGAGAGGGCGGCGTGGCAGCAGGGAGTGGGCGTTGAGGCTGCCCAGGCGATTGAGGCTAGCACTGGGCCAGGGCTAATCGACTTGGAAAATGCTATGAGAAGATCCCACATGACATCGTCTGGGCAGCTTGTGCCCAGCATCGATGCACATGCGCCGTGCCCGTTTGCTCCTACAAGTCTATGGAGGCTCTCGGAGGCTGCAGGTGCGCGAGCTTGTTTCGCCTGCGCTGGCCATCGCGCGCTCGATTATTGCAGGGTGCTCCTTCGCCGCGACCGCGTTGCGTCTGGTGATCCATGATGCGCTCATGCGCGTGAAGGAGAGATGGACCCCCCCCCCCCCTCCCCCTGTATGTGATGGTGGATGATACTGCGTTTTCTTTGGTGGGTTCGACACATAGAGTTTGGGATGTCTTGGGCAAAGCCATTCCAGATCTGCGCAGACAATTGGAAAATATGGAGATGGTAGTTTCCACGGAGAAGTGCCGGACTGTGGCGCCCAGCCCGCAGATTGCAGAGCAATTGGGCAAGGCGCTCAAAGGACATCGGTTTAATGTCTGCGTTGCGGTGAAGAACCTTGTGCATGATTTCAGTCAGCAGCACAGGAGAGGGAAAAATGATTCTCGAGCAGCGGATTGCGAAGCTTCGCCGCAGGGCGCGCAGGTTTCGCGCTTTGAAGCATCACGGGCGCGGTCTGGCACGGGCATGCAGAGGAGGAGGGATTGCTGCAGCCGCGTATGGAGTAAGGGTCATGGGGATGTCGGATAAGGATTTGAAGAATCCCCGCGCCGCGTCTGCCTTTGCTCTGTTCGGGAAGGCCAAGGGAAGGTCGAGAGCTGTGCAATGCCTCTTGGCGGATCCGCCAGACCTCGATCCTGCTTTTTTGGTCAGCGCGTTGCCGTTGACCACCTGGCTCCTAGCACTGCGAGAACACTGGGCGCCGGAGAATGTCATGCGCTGAATTTTCGAAGCGGCCCTTGAACGAGATGTCCGAGATTGGGCGGCGGTCCAACGGCCTGTTGGTTCTGTCGTTCAGACCTTGGGGCGTCTTGGGTGGAAGGCGCGGTCCTGCAGCCGCTGGATTGACCCCCGGGGGCTCGACGTTGACCTCGAGAGCACCAGCGCCCCCGGTCTTAAGGCGGTCATTCGCAGAGGAGCTAGGAGGCAACAGGGGGGGGCGGCGGCGGCGCATCTTGGGTGGAAAGGGTAGCTATATGTTGATCCTACAAAAACTGAGCTTGGGCAATTCAGGGGGCAGGGCGAACAGATGAAGGCCGGCCTGATTGCAGCGCATATGTCTGGGGGTGCGTGGGCTCAACAGAAGGCGTATGATGAAAGGTATTCTGTGAATAGCATGTGCAGTTGGTGTAAGGCAATGCCAGGAGCGATTTTGCATGGGCTCTTATCCTGCGATGGACTTGCCAGCTGGAGGCGAGAGTAAGGTTTCCAGGAGTTCGTGGGCATGGGCCTCGGATTTTCGGACACGCAGCTTCTCGACTATGGCTCGCCCCGGCCCTGTTCATCGATGGATCTGGTCCGAACCCCGATGTTGAATGGATGGCGCGTGCGGGCTGGTCTCGTGTGTCTCTGAAGCCTGGGGGGCATGGGCTCTGTGCAGCAGCTTGCGGCCCTGTACCGGGCATTGCAATCGTCAGGACACGCCGAGCACTGCGCTGCCTTGCAGGCGCTGTACCTGACAACCTCCTCCGCCGTGACGACCGTCACGGACCATCAACACATCATTAAGGGCCTCGCGAAGGGCCTTGACATCATGCGTGACCCAAAGCAGTCCTTCTCATAATTGCGCCGCCTCATCTTCTGGAAGTTGGGGGATATAGGGACGACAACGTGGAGATCTTGTGGATGCCTTCGCATCGATCCAAAACGTGGCTTCGGAATCATGGATATCCCGATGAATGGCATGTAGGAAGTAGTGAGGCTGATACAAATGCTCGGAAAAGGAGCTATGGGACATCGGGTTGCTCAGCGCGTACAGGCGGCTGAGCACGTAGGCAGGCCAGTGCTTCGGCTTCTTGGAGGTACCCTCAACGGCCTCGGTAGTCTTGGATTTCCTGATGTAGAGCCTCTGCAAAAGGCCCAGATTAAGTTGGCCGCCTCAAAGGATGTCGAGCCTGTGATGCAGTTGCGGCTAGACCGTAGCGATTGTGGGCACCTCCTGCATGTCCCAGCAGGCGTGTGGGGGTGCCAGATGTGTGGCAAGCATGGCAAGAAGAGATCAGCTGTAATCGAGCTTCCATGCCCTGGTCTGCCAAAGGTCTTGGCCAGGGCGCACGAGACCCATTGGATCTGGAGGTTTGGATACGACTTATACTTTTGTGCGAGGTGCGGCCGCCACGCGAGGAAGCAGGTCAAGGACCTCGCCTCGCGATGAGGCCCCCCAACAGTGTCAGGAGAGCGGCCCTCCGCATGCTGAGGCCGGGCAGAGATCCGTCCAGCGGTGCGGAGGTGGGTCTCCCGTTCCCTGTGCATGGACTATTCCATTGCAGGCCATCTTGCTGCGCGGGACGGACTTTTCTCAGGCCCCAGAGGCCCCAAAGGAAGAGGAGGAGGAGGAGGAGGCGGAGGAGGAGGAAAATGAGGAGGAGGAGGAGGAAGAGGGAGGAGGAGGAGGTGGAGGAGGAGGAGGAGGAGGAGGAGGAGGGACGGGGGGAGGAGCGAAAAAGGAGGATGAGCAGGGGACGAACAAGGAAAAGGAGGGGAGGAGGAGGAGGAGGAGGAGGAGGAGGGGAGGAGGAGGAGAGGAGGGGCGCGAAGAGGAGGAGGAGAGGTAGGAGGAGGAGGAGGAGGAGGAGGAGGAGGCGGAGGAGGAGGAGGAGGAGGAGGAGGAGGAGGAGGAGGAGGAGGAGGAGGATGGAGGAGGAGGAGGAGGAGGAGGAGGAGGAGGCGGAGGAGGAGGAGGAGAGGAGGAGGCGGGAGAGGAGAGAGGAGGAGGAGGAGGAGGAGGAGGAGGAGGAGGAGGAGGAGGAGGAGAAGGAGGAAGAGGAGAGGACGGGAGGAGGAGGAGGAGGAGGAGGAGGAGGAGGAGGAGGAGGAGGAGGAGGAGGTAGTAGGAGGAGGGAGGAGGAGGAGGAGGGGGAAGAGGAGGCAGGAGGAAGAGGAGAGGAGGAGGGAGGAGGAGAGGAGGAGGAGGAGGAGGAGGAGGAGAGCGGAGGCGGGAGGAGAGGAGGAGGAGGAGGATGGAGGGCGAGGAGGAGGAGGAGGAAGAGGAGGAGGAGGAAGGAGGAGGAGGAGGAGGATGAGGAGGAGGAGGAGGAGGGTTGGGAGGAGGATGCGGAACCCGGAGGAGGAGGAAGAGGCGGAGGAGGAGGAGGAGGCGGAAGAGGAGAGGAGAAAGAGGAGGAATGGAGAAGGGGAGGAGGAGGAGGAACGGGAGGGAGGAGGAGGAGGAGGATGAGGATCTTTTCGAGAGGAGGTATGAGAGGGGATAATACACTGCAGGGTAGAAACGTCGCGCAGTGCACAGACGAGGAGTGAGGAGGAGGAGGAGGAGGAGGAGGAGGGGGGGGAGGAGGAAGAGGAGGAGGAGGAGGAGGAAGGGGAGGAGTGGGAGGGGGAGGAGGAGGAGAGGAGGTAGGGGAGGAGGAGGAGGAGGAGGAAGAGGAGCAGGAGGAGGAGGAGTAGGATGAGGAGGAGGAGGAGGGGGAAGAGGAGGAAAAGGAGGAGGAGGAGGAGGAAGAGGAAGGAGAAGAGGAGGACGAGAAATAATATGATTACTAAGGATATTAAGAAGACGAATAATAATAATAATAATAATAATAATAATAATAATAATAATAATAATAATAGTAATAATAATAATCATCATAATCATAATAATAATACTAATAATAATATTAATAATAATAATAATAATAATAAAACGAAGAAGCAAACGAATCATACTAAGCATACTAATAATAAGGAGGGTGAGTTGGCGGAGTAGTAAGAAGGCGGTCAATGCTATGAAGACGAACCAGAAGCATACTAAGCATAAGACACAACCTATTCAGACGAAGCAGAAGAAGCATATTAATAATGAAAATACTGCGAAGAAACATCATGACAATAATACCGATATGATCCATAAGACAACAGGTTACGAACATAAGAACCATACTAATCCCAAGACGGATGGTAATAATAACAATACTAA